TCAACGCTATTTACAGTTTTTACAAGATGACCTCCCAGTTTTATTGGAACATGTACACTTTGACACAAGACTAAGAATGTGATTCCAACAACACGGTGAGCCACCGCATTTTGCACTTTGTGTAAGGAATTATCTCAATGTTCTGTTTCTTCGTCGTTGGATCGGCAGAGGTGGTCCTGTTCTTTGGCCTCAGCGATCACCTGATCTAACTCGACTTGATTTTTATTTATGGGGCTACATCAAAGATGTGGTCTACAAAAATCGACCAACGACTGCAGAAGACATGAAAACACGTATCAGAGGCGCTATTGCCAACATTCCTCAACAAGCGCTTCAAAATGTTGTGCAGAGTTTCCGACGTCGACTTGAGTTGTGTCTTGAAGTGAATGGTGGGAACATTGAGCACTTGTTGTAACGTCTTTCTAGTAGAACAATCCATTGGCGCCTTTTTGTTTCTCCTTTATTTTTCTGTTTATCGTGTCTGAATTGGGAATATCGTTGACAAGTTCCATTTTTAGTATTTTTGAGCTCAGAAAGCATAAAAAACACATTATGTGTGACATCATTAGATTCATCTCATCGAGTACAACAACTTTTATTACAAGAAAATTTTTGATCCCATATGAAAAAAATGAACTTATGCTTGTAGCATAAAAACATGAAGACTAGAATGCTCAAAACATATCTCATTATTTTTCCCACTTGAAGCCCCACAACTTCTATTTGAAAGATTTTTCGATTACTACCCACATTCAATAGTTATTTGGGTGTACAATTTTATCTCGGACACCCTGTATATAGCACATCATTTGGGAAGATGGCGCCTCAATTACACTCACGGAATAAACACAATTCAAGAATTCCAGGTACACAGGACACACTCAAGACCTAATTGCCGACATATAAGACACTCTGACCTTTCGTTTGGGCCAAATACCGGAATTTATAATCACCTTGATCACACGTAATTAGTAATTCCGTAGCTGAGGTGATGACCTGTCAATTTCAGAGAATTTTAATTCTCCGGGACTCAGGTAGATGGCGCCACCATCAACTCGCGAACACGGCGGAATAAGCTTCAGAGACGGACGTTGAAAAATGGGACCTCGGATGCTTCCAATGGGGTATTGCGCATGAGTGGGAGTGAGATAGCAATTTCTCTAACTGTCTCACTCCCTTCCGTTCTGAAACGGCCATCTGTGATGTCTAATGTGTGCATTTATTTATGAGTAATTGAACTCCCCCGACAATTGTTACCCTCTGAGACCTAATTGCCGACATGTCGCAGGTTATGACCTTTCTTTCGAGACGAAAAGCATAATTTCTCATGCTGTTTTTTGGCCGTAATTCGTAATTCCGTGAAACCCAATTGCTTTATTAAAATCTAGGGAATTCTGGGGA